AGGAGAAAACATTTTATAGATAATCCACCCTAGGGTCATAGGTCCAGGGAGTCCTGGAAAGATCTCTCTCTTGTAGTGGAGTTCCATTATCCAATTCTGCTTGACAAGCTGGTAGGGGGGAAGCTTCCCAGACAGAAAACAGTAAGGGAAAACATAATTGTTCTTCTTCTGGGCCCAGTGTGGATGCAACTTCTCACACGTCTGCACAATCCAGCTAAACAAGCACATCAGGCTATTGGTAGGGACTGAAGTTGTCCTGACATCCTTGGAGGAACCACTGCTGTTGCAGACTCAAGAGACCACTGTTGAGCTGGGCTCCAGGAGCACTGGAGGGCTGCTATCTGATGCTGTGTGTCTGTCAACCACCACAACTACACTCACAGGCATCATGCAGCTCTAGCCCATCTGCCAGCAGTTCCACTGCCAGCTCGGAGAGCCTCCTTCCTCCCAGAGCTCAGAGCCTGGGCTAGGCTATGCCTCACTGCTGTGGGTCCTCTGCCTGCCTTGGCCCAGACCCTCAGCCAGGAAGAAAAGGCATAACTGACCACGCACAGTGCCTTGTTCCAGTGTGCAGGCAGCAGAACAGAGTCACAGGCACTGCAGTGTTCCTCCTATCCCAGGCAGGAGAAGAGAGACTCCAGTCTGTACTCAGAAATAGGCTTATCCCTGTTGAAAAGCCCAAACACAAAACAGTGCCCAAGGACTACTAAGGAGTCACCTGTCTGCTGGCCACCCAAGACAGTAAATGGTGCCACTTTTTCTCCTAGAAACCAGAAGAAATTTATTGTCTGAGGTGCCCTGTGAAATGAGCACTTGGTATGTTACTGACTGAAATAAAGTTGGCTGTGCCCACTACATTGCTGAGGGGCTGGGCAATCTGAATAATCTGCTATGTTGTTCAGAATCAAGGTCTGCACGTGGTTTGGCAACTAATGAGTGGTTCATCCCATCAGTGCTGCTCTGCAGCAGCTGAACAGACATCCTAGAAAAGAGTTTGCTAACTGCCCACCAGCAGTTGTTGAGTGATAACACATGCAGTTACCTACATTTATGCAGATACTCAGGTTTATCTGACAGGTTTTACAACTGAAGGTCAATACACAGTAATTAAAACTAATTAAAACTAAAAATGTTTTGACAGTGAAAACCAATGGCCATATAAATTAGAGTGCCGCAAAAAGCAATGGTTTCAAAAACCAGATCTGTAGATAAATCAGAATGTTGCAACAGAAGATAATTTAATACAAGACTGTTAATGTAAAGGAGCCCTTAAATACAGGCTCAGATTCTGACTATGAGAGGAATAATCTTAAAAACTACAGACAAGGGAAACTGTGAGAGATTAAAGAGGGAAAAAATCTTATTGATAAAGGAGTGAAAGAAAATGCTAACCAAGGTCTTAGATTCACACCCAGGGCCATGCAGCTCTGTGATATGTCTATGCAGGCACAATACAAAGTTAGTTATCTTTGATGAAGCTCTTTGACCCAGAGATGAAATAACTCACTTGGTCCCACGTCCTGTTACACACATGCTAGTGATCCAAACATCAGGGATCATGCCTAAAGGTACTGAAGAGGATGCTGTCACACTATTTTACTCTGCCTTTGTCCAAGATAAATCAAGTAGTTGTTGACAGCGTACGTGATTGCTAAGAAAAAAACAATACCTCCATGCTAGATTGTGCCTAGTTTGTGCTTTCTCTGATATACCTCATGATGACTGTTCAGTAGTAATGACAGTCATGTGATACCTTTTAAATAATAACAATATGAACAATGGATTAAGACATTCCTCACAATTCTTCTTTATACTCTGAAGGACAAAAATTGTTCTACTTCATTCCCCAGCAACACATCCCCCTAAGTGCCAGATCTGCAGCTGAAACATCTGCAAGGTTTACATGTGAGCTCAAACCTGCCATTGGTTTTGTATACTGAAATACAATGTAATGGCTAAGATGAGTGTGGAAAAGACTAGAATGCAAGAAAGGCTCTTACTGCATCTTGATTTTGCCATAAAGACTTAAAAGCTATATATACAAGCCTTCAGGTTCTAACCTCTAGGGACATGAATGAACATTTTTGGTCACCATATCTGTGAAAAAATTCAGACACACATAATACACATAACACTGTGTTTTTTTAAAAAGTCTCTGTCAAATATCTGCTGCTTTTAATTTAAAAGGAAAATGACATGAAGTGTATGAGATCTTTACCGCTAAGAATGAATGCCATTAAATCACCTGTAGCAATTTCATTGTTTAAACTGCTATTCTAATAATTTCAAGACTAAATTTCAAACGGAGCAGCATTAAAATACAAGATCCCCACCTGCACAATGTTCTTCCAGAAATGTCTCTTCCGATTTACAAAGCACTTCTATTTAGCGAAATTTCTTTAAAAAACAAAAAAGAAACAAAAAAAAATCCTAGTTTTTTAATTCTCTAGGTAGGGATTACACACATCCCAGAAAGTGAGAATATGCACACATTGCAGAAAGAGAGAGACTGCCATTTCAGGCTGTGTAACGTTAATAATGGGCTGATAATTCACTTAGCATTGAAAAATGTATATTTATAAGCAATCCAAATGACTGAAAGTAAAAGAGTGTTGAGTAGCAAGGTATGTGAAATAGGTGCAATGATAAGAGAAGTGAAATTACACCTACTACAATGAAAACAATAAATCAAGGCTTTTTCTTAATGGATGGGTGATTGCTGCTATGTTGTCGTGGAAGATTTCCCTTTAACCTGGCAAGATAAATGGAAAAAAATCGTTCAATGAATCTGCCATTTGACTTTTCTTAAGTGCAACTTTCTAAAGCATTTTAAACACATTTAAGAGTCTGACTCTAAATGCAAGGAGATTTCCAGAATAGATTTAAAAAATCCTGTTAGAAGGAGTAGCCATTTCAATGCAAGTAAACAGCCCTGAGGCTGTAACAACAAACTAGAAGACAAACTCCAGAGCAGATTGTTTCCCAAAGAATTCACTTGTAGGTATGTGTGCCCTAGTTGCATCAGTGAGAGTAAGGGGATTTAAAAAAGTCTGGAGCATCTGCAAATCTCATGGCAGCTGACAAAAAAAGTGGGTGTCTAGCATTTCTGAAAACTGGGTCATTTCTACTTAACCATAAGGACTGTGTAATGTTTACTCTTACTGACTACAGGACACATTGAACCCTGGAACTTGTGCCTATTACAGACTGATCTGCACATTCATGGTACATAAATTTTATTACATATCTGTGAAACAGAGTTTCATCTTAAACCTTAGCTTAGAGCTCAAAATCACTTTCTTTGAACTCATACAAACAGAGTAACTTCTTGAACCAGTCCTGGTCTACTGAGAAATGTAAATTGTGCCATTCTTCCTTTGACCTCATACTAACCCAGAGGCTGAGAGTGCTCACATCTAGAGTGTTAAATTAGACATAAGACTTCCTTATGTGGAAGATTTTCCTCCTGAGCAACAGATCAAAACCAGATGTTTCTGCCATAGCTGGGATTATTTATTTTCCTTGCCTTGCCTTGCCTTGCCTTGCCTTTCCCCACCTTGTCTTGACTTTGCCCTGCCTTGCTCCTCTGCATTTTGGTTTTCTTCTGCAAACATAATACATAAAACCCCTGAGGTTACTATTAGGGTGGGTAGGTAGCTTTCTTCCATCTGCATCTCACATGCAGCAGAAAATAGTGACTGGACTTCTGGTAGCTCCATTGATTTAGCAGGGAAGGGTAAGTGCTGATGCTGGTTCAGTAACAGGGACCTTGAAAAGTTCAAGAGTAAGTTTCCCTACCAGTGAGTTACTAAAGAGTCATATTTAATGTTTTCTCTATTTTCTCCTTGGAAACTAAGAGGGGAAACTTCAGGAGAAGTATTAACTGTATCTGCAACTCCCAGCTGAGTCCTACAGAGCAGCACGGGTCTCTCCAGGAGGCTGGTTCTAACAAGGCACAGCATGCCTTCAGATGGTCCTAGTACCAAGCCGTGGGTCTAACTCTGGCTGTCACACAAGTGAAAATGGGTGACTGAGCAAAGGGCAGGGCCTTCACCAGCAAGGACCAGAGCCTGACTGTACATAAAGGGCTCTGAAGCACTTTGAATGGGAACACCACATAGCCCAAAGTTTGTCACCTGGGCTCCACCTGTGTGGCCACATGTGCCCACTGTCTGGCACAGAATGGTCTTCAGTTCCTGAGGCACATCTAGCCGTAAGTATGCAAATATTTGTGAGGGGGGAATGTTTGCAAAAGGCACTCTATGTTTGCAAAAGGCACTCTATGGTTGCCATATGTTATTGAAAGAATTAAAACTGGGTGGGGGGAGTTAATTAAATCGTTAGTAAATAGCTACTAATGTTTGCATTATAGTCATTTAAACTCAGTCTTATGCATCTTTTGTACCTCCTGCATCTGTTCTGATTTTCTATTTCATTGTAAATGTATACAGCACTCTGAGATGAGGCAGTTTTTTCATCTTTGACAGGAAGACATTAAAAAGATAGTTGGTATTTTGGAGTGTCATTTTGTTCTTACTAACATAAAATAAAAACTGGTTTGCTGCACTGAGTTTTCATGTCTTGCCAGTATTAAAGTAAGGATTCTGCATATGGACTGCTGCAACTTTTCAAGTGTCTTCCATTTCACAGTCGGTAGTCAGGGACCACATTTTTTCAGGTTTGGAGTGTAGGGGAGGGCTGTATTGTAACTGCACTTGTAGGCTTCATTTTGCCTACAAAATGCATTTATGCATAGTACTGAAAACTGAGAAAGAAAAAAAATTACAGTCTTTGTAGCAGAGAACTTAAAACTCCTGTCATAGTGATGGCAGAAAGACAGACAGGCAAGAGCAATGAGATACCAGACAGCCTGCAGAAGCAATTTATTCCAGTTCTTTATTTTTATGTGTTTTCTAGAACATAACTTGCTTGCTCACAAAAAAAAAAACCAAAAAAAAAAAAAACCAAAAAACCCACCAAAACAAAAAAACCAACAAAACAAAACAAAAACAAAAACAAAAACAAAACAAAAAAACAAAACAAAAACAAAAACAAAGAAACAAACCAACCCAAAATCCCAAAGATGACTTAACATTACCCTGCAAAGAACTTCTTCAGAACTTTGCATGCAAGTTAGTCAGGAGAAATCAGCCTTTGCCTTTTTATGGAAAATTAAAACAAGCAGGGGTGTCTAAAAACATATTTCTGTTCTCTGAAAAATAAAGAGAAGGGGAAGAGGAGAGTAAGATATTACTGAATAATTGCTCTTCAAAACCCTTGAAATAAGCCCCTTTTTGCTTTCCACTCTGGCAACTGTGAAGTAGAGTTTGGCCAAAGATGACATGTTAGGCGATGGAGGAGGACCTGAGAAGGTACTTCAGGATGCCTGACTCAGAGGTGTAAAAGAATGACTAGGGAATAGCCTCCAGGGAATGAGGTTTTCACTGCTCTATGATGCTGAGTGGAGAGAGAAAATAGGAGATAACTCCTAGCAGGTGATTGTTGGTGGCTCTGGTGGCCCACAGACGGCTTTAGAAGGCACCATGAAATCAGCGCCACCATGCATGTGCCTTCCAGGGGGCTTCCAGTGAGCTCCCTGCAACTGCTGCTTTGCCAGACCCATTGCCCACCCTTTTACTGGTCTAGGAGACGTGGGTTTGGACCAAACAACTAGCAATTACAGTAATGCAATATTCTGCTCAGATGATGCTTTATGCTAAGTATAATCTGAGTGCTCATCTTCAGAAATCAGGCCTCTGGGGATGTTTCAGACTCAGCAAGCCACTTCAGAATCACTGCAAAAGTCCTGGTCAGGCACTTCAAAATGCTAACTGTTCATTCTCATTTGTAACTTTTCCATTGAATCAGAAATCTTGAAGATTTTACTTTTTGCTAGTTAAAAACAGTATGATAGGAAAAAAAATTTTTGTGTGTCTAGAAGTCATGTGAGCTTTTACACCTGCATGCAAAACAAAATAAATATATTTTGCTACTACTTTGAACTACATAGCCACTTCTATTAAAAGTGGCATTCAAATAGCTATCTCTGGTGTGCCATAGATTAGTCATACTTTTTTTCAAGGAAGATTATAAATAGTGTTTAGGAGGGAAACAGAGAGTATTTTGCAAATGAGTCCAGATGGAAAACTAACAGATGGCCTAGTGCTGTATTTTGTATGCTCAGCTCTATATTTAAATAAAAAATTTTCATAATTAAGATGAAGGTCTGTAACAACGCTAGCTACTTTTCCTGTGGCAGCACCATACGTCATGGATCACAGGTATGAACTGCAGGCTTTTCATTAAATAGTGGTTAAATGTATATACAAATCTTGCTATTCAATTTATTTAAAACAGAGGGGAATAAAATGGAATTCACAGAAATTAAAGAATAAAAAAAATAAAAACCTTTCATACAAACAGACATCATATAGTAAAGACATTTACCACCATCTGGTCTTTTTTCTCCTGCAAACTGAATGACCCACCACCCTACTTGGAAGGGAAAGGAGAAGCATCACATTTGTTAGAGGTCTTCAGCCAAGAACCATAATGCCAGTAGAATTTTCCTATTTCATTACTTGAAATAAATGGGGTTCTTGAATTTCAATAATTAGATCTGGAGAAGATAAACTGTGGCCCTACACATATATTATAATCTGAGAACTGAATCAAGGGAAGTGCCTCACACATTAGTATCTCCCATAAAGTGGCGTGTGTATGTATGTAGATGTTACTGCCAGAGAGTGCTGCTAAAGCAAGGGCTGTACCTCGCCCATGGTGTAACAGGTCAAGGGACACAGCAGCCAGAGCAAGGGCTCCTTTCTCAGCATGCAGCCCCAGCCTGTGCTCCCTACCACCCACAGCACTGATGCAGCCTGACAGACATGCAACAATTGCATTCACACCAAAGAGCCTCTCTGACATCTTCAGCACTTTCTTCATGCCACCTGTGAGGAGGTAAGAGGTGCTCATTTTACAATGGTCTGCAAGCAGGGTCCATTGAAGTCAGTGGAAAGTTACACCTGGTAAGAAGAAGAAAAAAAGGCTTAAAAGAACTTCCATCTTTCTGCTGTGCTCCCTGAGATTTTCCTCAATTATCTCAAGCCAAAAAGCAACTGTAACTTTGTGGTAAGAGGGACTGCCTCTGTTCAAGACAGCAATGCTACACAAATCTACCTGCCGGGAAATCTTTAGTACCAGCAGGGTTCAATAAAGATGACTCTACCAGGAGACATTAGGCTGCAAGTCAGCAACTCAGTGGGCTTACAAATCATTCACAGTGGTAGAAAATATGTGCTTTGTTATCAAATAGCTTCTTCTATTGCTCTCACAGTCATAACATTCAAGTTCCTTACCATAGCACATTAAATACTGTGACTCATAACTATCATCTGCCTCATTTTCCAGCTTATCCTCCCCCCACAGAGGGAATTTTATGTACAGCAGGGTGTCTTGTTTTGGTAGGGTAAATACTATTTTTTTTTTCACATGTTTCTGTTTATACATTAACAAAGGAAAGCCTAAAGTTGCATGCCCTGAGTTGGAGCCGAGCAAGGGATGTTTGTGGCAGTCATGTTCTCCTGTGGGAGTACAAGTAGTACAGGTACAGGTTAGCTCCAAGGATGGCAAGCTTGCCCTTTTTGAGAACAAGGCCTTTTTGAGGCAAAGATACCAAATTTAGATACTTTTTATTCTTGATAAACCACTCTGTAAACAGACATTTCTAAGGTGGTCCCACTGCTATTTTTAAAACAAAGTGAGATGCAGATTCCTTACTAGGGAGTACTGCTATAATGCTGTCAGTCTCTGCTCTTCTGGAATTTGCTGTGTAGGTTTGACATTTCTGGAAGTCAATCTTAAAGTGAAGGCTCACTCATTAAAATCTTCCTCTTTTCTTCTTGTGTGCAGCACTGATCAGTGGCTGCAGAGACATCTGCTGGTTGTTACAATTTTGAGTATGTAGTAATCATAAGGAAGACAGAAAATTTCTCAAATAACATTTAAATTCTTTCATAACTTTCTCAATTTCCCAAAATTTCTTGAATTCAGATTGGGCTGATTGATATGAGGAAGGAATAAAGAACTGGAATAATCAGTTTCTGTTATGAGATTTAGTAAGCCTTTATAGTTGCAGGAAATTTTGTTTGAACTATGGCTCTGATTTTAGGGATTGAAGTTTTGCATTAGCAATATCAGAGTTAGGTTTGTTTAAACTTCTATGATGAGTCCCATATTCCACATGACATCCCCAAACACCTTAACTATGAATGAAATAGTGCTTTGTTTTTACTTCTCTATTGCAAGAGCAAATTCTTTGAAGTAAAGAATATTCTTTATCTATTGGTGCACTATTGGAAAAGACACACTGCCATGAAGGTAGATACTACTTTCTATTAAATTATTCGATGGCTTGCAGCGCTTTATGTTTGTGTTTGGGAACATGGACTTCCTGTTCTTGCAATAAGGCATTACACTGTCCTGCCGACCCTCTGCCCCCTCCACTGACATTGTCAACATTTAAACCAATTTCACCTTCCAAAGTTATCACCTAATTTACATCGTTTGGAAGATCTGGTAATTCAGGAAACCGAAACACCAGTTTCATAATAAAGAAACATGCAATGTAATCTGGATTTTCAAGGCTGATGAATTTGACTGTAAATCAGTTCTGTGCAGAGGTTTGCCTCTTCTGTGCTTAATTACACCTGTGCAAACACCTATTTGTTTATCGTTGCCAAAAAACCTGTGTGAGCTATTTGCATTCCCAGAAACCACATTTCCATACTGAGCACTTCTCTGAGAATGACATTTCAGCCATTAATTCAAATGTGACACATTTGAATTAATGTGACAAATAATTAATATTCTCTTAGTTGAACTCTACCTGAGTTTTCACCTTATAGTTCTAAAGAAACTATGTGGCTGTAAGTGTAGCAGACTTAAAAATCCAACTGCTTCTGAAGGATGAAAGAAATTTCATTTATTTTCACTTGAGTTTTCTTGGTAAATATTTACTGTTCTTTGTTATTTTATGAGTTCCAGAGACTTCTATGCACCTTAGCCACTGATTTTATCCCCACAAAGGGAAGACAATGGGACATTTCCTCATGAACACTTCCTCATCTGGGAAAGTACACACAACATGGACAAGGGCGCAGCAGGGCTTTAATGCAAGCATTATTGTTTGTTGTAATTTTATAGAGATGGAGTTCATTTTCCCACAGGTGCCCTCACAGCGCTGTGCTTTGCCTTGGTACCCACAAGGGGTTGGTGACACACCAGTGTTTTGGCTGCTGCCGAGCAGCTCTGCGCAGCACCGGCGCTGTCTCTCCATCATTCCACCTCCCACCAGCAGCCTGGGGCTGGGCAGAATCTTGGCACAGGACATAACCAGGACAGCTGACCCAAACTGACCAAAGGGGTATTCCATACCATATGATGTCAGCTCAGATAGAAAAGCTGAGTAAAGGAGGAGGAAGGGAGAGCACAGTTTATTTACAGTGTTTGCCTTCCAGAGCAACTGTGACATGTGCTGCAGCCCTGCTTCATGAGAAGTGGTCCACTGTTGATGGGAAGTACAGAATAAAATTGTTGTGTTTTTTCCTTTGTTTGAGTAAGCACCATTTACTTTCACCTTACTAAACTGTCTTACCTTGACCTATAGGTTGTTGTTTTCCATTTTATTTTGTCCTCCTTCCATGCTCAGGTGCCAAAGGCAGTGCTAGGTGCCCACTACTGTTAGGTGGGCACCTGGCATCCAGCCCGGGTTGACTCTCCACCTCCACAGTCACATTTTATGGAAAGCTTGTAAATAAAATGCTGGAGTTCAGTGCTGTAGCCTCTGCCCATGGAAAAGCCCCAGAACAGGCTCAAGGGCCCCACCAGTGGTGGGGTATACCTGTGGCTGCTGAAAAGCACAAGGCAGGCACGGCAGAGTCAGCTCCCATGTGCAGCCCTGCTCCTCCTCCCTGCTCCCAACAGCAGGTTGCACAGTGAGGAACCCGACTGGCATGTGGACTTGGTGCTGTGGCTTTCTTTCCCTGAGGTACAGTCTTTGGATTCAAGGCGTCTAATATGAGGGCACTCTGCTGAAGTCTACCAACACATCACATAATAACTGATAGCAGAGAAAATGTAAAAATCTGCTAGTAATAAGGCATATAAGGAATTTGTGATGGGATTTACAATTAACTTAGCTCTCATTAAACTGAAGAAGACAATATTATTGGCTGGATTAGATGAATGTCCTGTCCCAGAGGAGGGTTTTTTTTTCCCAACCTAGATGATTCTATGATTCTATATAACCACAAGGTCTTTCAACAGTTCTGCAGACATAATGTACCAGTCCATTGCCCAGGTGACCTATCCAGGATATGGGCTATACCTGTCAGGCAAAACCAACAGATTTATTTCTTTTCTTGGCCCCCCTTTTTTTTTTTTTTTTTCCTCTTTATGGCAAGAAGCATGGCTTTTCTGTGACTGCTGTTGTTAATAAAATTTCTCAACACTTTTAATAGGACTCCATTTCAAAGGAAGGTGAGCAGTGTCACTGTTAGGATCCAGACTTCAGGGCATCTTCACTGTTGGCTGACATTTCTTTAACTTGTATGGTCTTGGACTGGCTCTCCAAGAGCAGGCTGAAGCAGAGATTAATAGGCACAGGGATATCTGCGCTGTGGGAACTTGGGCACTTCAGTCTTCAGAGTAGGCTTCTGTGACAGAGCTTTTTTCTCAAGTACTGCTCAGACCAGGAGCTAAATTTAGATGCTTACCATGTTAGATGAAAAACACTGTTTTGGGAAATGTGCTGGGGCATTGTAATCCCCCATCACTGATTAATAGAGGAGAGAATTACCACTTTGTTGATTTTCCCCAGCTAAATTCAGAAATGGCTGTTTTAGGGCAGATGTTCAAATACTCTCACAGAGACTCTCCTGCTGCCAACAGACCCTTCAGGTGGAAAACTACTGGTGTGACAAATGAATATGCAAAGGAAAGTTTGAGAACAGCTGCAGATTTTAGAGTAGTGACCCCAACACAATTGCACAGATGGAAGCAGCCACAGAGAGGCAGAGAGCAGATATTGCAAGTTTAATCATGGGAGAGATGTAAGGTGCAAGAGCAGGTGAAGAACCATTTCAACCATTTCCTTATTTTTAACCTTGGGATGTCCTTTCTCAAAGCATTCCTTGGCTGCTCCAGTTCACAAGTAACGAAATGGTCATTTTCAAGCATGATCCTTTTCCTGGAATTCTTCAACATAAAAAAAATTCAGTTGCTACTAAAGCTGGAGTTGTGGCCTTTATCTGAAAGAGGATGAAAATGAGTGTAAGAGGGGAATTGTTTCGTGACTTGAAACAAACTGCAGAGCTCTGAAGCAGGTGCCTCACTCCATTTTTCTTTAAGCTCGCATGCTCTGACCAAGTCTCATTGTCCATTTAAGATAGAAAATCTGTGATGAGGGTCATCATGTTTTCTTGTGAGGAGAATTTTGTTTTTACACAGAGCCTGCTTGCTGGTTCTCTTCCCTAAAGAGATTGTTTGGTTCTGTTTGGCTTGAGCATGTCCAGGGGTATCTTCAGTCATCAAATCTTGAATGAGTGGTTCACTACCTTCTTAAAAGCACTTTCACTGCTGACAGATGAAGTGTAAAATATAAGTGGATTGTTTCACAGTACAACATATATAACGCAGATGCTAGAGGAGCCATGAGGCTACTGCCTTTTGTTAGTATACCTAGAAAAGCAATGATTATTTACAATACCTCTTCTCTATTTAATGTGACATCCTTTAGCTAATGAGAGAGTTTCTGCTGTTTGTGAAAAACAGAGCAAGATTTTTTAATAGTTTTTTTTAAACTTTCTTTAAAGTATGGATCTATCTGGATAATTTTGTTTCAGAAACTGAAGTCAACTGCCTGTCTCCATCAGGAATTTATATGAGAAATCATGATACTTTGACTTGTCAAAGTCAGGTAAGGTGAGGTGAATGCTTCCAATCCTGGCCTGTGGGGAGGATTGTA